GGTCATTGATAGCCTTAGCTCGCAGAATTTCTGGAGGTCAGTCGTCCCAGTCCGGTGGCTGGTGCAAGAGAGACCAACTTGTGGTCACACACTCATTTATATAGTTTAACCTCCTAGTTTTCCTCTCCCCAAGAAAGGTTGTTTCCCTCGCCGACAAACAGTGACCTGTTCCCCGAGACGGGAAGCGAAGATAGTGTGTGCTAGCCGTGGGGTGAACAGCCCTCCGAAAGAGGCTTGATTGTCTCTCTATCTAAGAGGGACCGATGTGACTTTGCAGCTAGCCTGGCCCCGCTGCCGTAGGAAGCATCACCATGCGTGCTTCGCCAAAATCTTTCTTGCTGTTTTGGATTTATTTTGAAATGAATGTAACCTGGATGATTGATAAAGAAACATAGTCATGCATGATACAATCAAAGGCATGCTTTTTTTGCCATCACGGTCAGAGCCCGGTGAAAACAGCGCGCTGCTATGTTCGCATTACCCTTCATCCCCTGTCTAATCATAAAAAACTACAATAAGCAGGAATGCAATTAAACTTGCACCAAAACACAAATTTTCAAGCTTTCTAATACGCGGTGCTGTTTAGCGCCAGCTTCTTGTAATGTACTCGCGCAGCACTGCCACACGTAAGCAGCGAGTGGAGGCGTAGCATGCGCTCGACAGCCCGAGGAGAGCGCTTGCCCAGGCACTGAGAAAATAGAGGAGTTGCCTTGCTGTATACATAGGCTTTTATGCCGACTTCAAACAATTAGTTTTATAATAAGTTGAACAGTTATCGTTTTATGCCATGATAATGTGTAAAGTGATGTTCGTTTCAGACTAACTTTTCATGCCCCTAAATCTTCATATCTCTGAGCCATTAATAGCTCATATTGTTCCACATCATCTGTAGAATGCAAATAATTATCAAGAAAGTGCATATAAAACATTTTGGTGGTCAAGAAAATTGCAATGTGAAAATTCTCAGAATCCTCAACCCATACTATTTGCTCACTTTAGGTTCGTAATAATGATACAGGTGATACCAAGTTTTAACGGAGATACCTGCACCCTTCGCAGGTTAAAAATATCTGTGCAAAATTTCATGCCCATTGGGCTATCATAAGCACTAAAAACATGATGTCCAAACTCGAGAAGTTGCCCAGAAATGGATCTTGAGAAAAACACATTTTAAAGGTGTAAGTGAAAGCTCATCTATATGGAAAAGATGTGTTTTTTAAGATGACTTCATCCATCATGAGAGCTTGGCAATTATGGTTATTTTGAGCATGTCATTTTCACAAGCCTCTTATGTGAACTGCAATCGTAAACAGCCAGCTGACAATTTCCAGGGGACTCTAGACAATAAGCACTTTTTAGTTTTTCAGTAGTCTCCTTGTGCTCCTTAACAACAATTTTAACCTACTACTTCGAGTTTCATTACAACCTTCAGTCTTTGTGTCATGAAAGGAGGGAAACTGAACTTGTGGAAGTAAATAAAAACTAACAATAAGTGATTTTGAAAAAAAAAAAAACACTTTACGCTGTGGCTTTCTTGTGACTTTATTTGTGAACAAGACTCCCATACTGTGTGCCAAGACGTCAGTAAATTTGGTGTTGTTTTGGTAAGTGTACACTTTTGTGTTTACACTAAGCAACAGTTATGCACTGCCTTTTTTTTCCCTCCGTCTTCTAGCTGTTTGTTTATTTATTAAAAAATACTTTACAGGCCCAAAGGCATTGAGTAAGAGAAGCTACAGTGAAAACCGGAAGTAAACTTATTACCTAAGAACAATGCTATAGTGCATGTTATTATTAATAGAAATACTCTGTAAAAAAATTAACAAGATATTCAGACATCGTAATGCAACAGTTGACAAAGAGCTGACTACACCACACTAATCAAAAGAAATGAGACACTTTACAATAAAAAAGCTTAAATAAAGGAGAAAGAAAAGACTCACAATGCTATATCGAAAAAATGCATCTCAAGTTTGTGTTGAAACGTGTTCGGGTTACCATCAGAAGGCATATCGTCGAGAAGATCGTTTTGCATGCAGATGGCTTACGGTAGTGCTGTCGAGTTAAATGTGTGTTACCAAAGATGCGGGTAAACCTGACATGATTATGTAAACTGCGTGGTGTTCCGTAAACTGCGTGGTGTTCCAAGTTGTAATGATGATGTTTTGTTACTGTAGACATACTTATGAAATACTGTCGAACATGGTTATATTGAACCCACATCTATAGAATTTTCGGGTATATCGAACTCACAAGTTATCCCCTTGAAATTCCTTCGTAAAAGTATAGAAATTCGCAGGTTTATATCGAACGGTATTTTTACCCGCCTTCAAATATATCGAACGCCAAAGTGCGCTTCAGCACTCCTTCCCTCCCCCCCCCCCCCCCCCCCTCCCTGACTTTCGAGCGCAAGTTGGAAGGCGCGCTTCGGCACTCGCAGCGCCCAGCGATTTCCGCGCAGCACCACGCCTCCACCAAAACGCTCGAAAAAAGATAATGGCGAGAGGGCTCAGACTGTACAATCTCTAACTTGCGCTTGCGGAAAAGGGTTTTTTTTCTTTCTTTTTCTCTTTCGCGTGCTTTCTCCGTGTACCCGGCGAGCAGGAACGAAGGAGATGACGTCCTCCTTCTTTCGCCTTTATTTTTATTTTTTGTTGTTGTTTTGTGAGTTTTCATCAGCCAACCATAGCTCACACTTTTTGCTGTTTCTCTCACAGGTGGCCATCGCCTCGCGAGCGCTTTGTTGCTTCTGCTATCGCGTTAGACGCTGCGCCGTGCTCCCGAACAGGCTGCAGAAATTAGGCGTCTTTTCCTTCTTCAAATCGCAACCACCACCACCTATCGCGTTGCCTATGTACTACCGGTTCACCGCAAGTGCAGAATTCTTCTTTCGTATGCGTAGTGTGCAAAGCCGCTGCAGACTCCTTGAATTGCCAACTTCTTGTGTAGCTACGGCCAGCGTCAAGAAGCGCAAGACTCTTGACATTGCGACGAAGTTTAAGGCGGACGACTTCGGGATACCAAGGAGCACTGCGAGTACTTTGTTGAAAAACAAGGCAAATATAAATGCAAAGGCGGCGAAGCAGCAAACGTCGGGAGCCTGTCATGTGCGCACTTCTGCCCACTGGAATGTTGAAAAGGCATCTATGCCTGATTTTTAGAAGTGCACCTGAAGAACATTCCAGTGAATGACCCGATGATGCTCGCCGAGGCCAAATGATTTGCCACTGCACTCTGTGAAACAACGTCGCCGACAACAGCAGATGGCTTCACCGATTTAAGCAGCGCTACAACATCGTTGTAGTCTTTTACAACTTGAAGTGCACTATTACCTATTTCGAAACGCTGCTCTTTTCCGAGGTTGGTGTACATTACTGTACATGTAGCGCGTAGACAGGATAACCGCTGGTCAATAAGGGTATAAATTGGCAGCAGCAAGCACAGGACCGGGTTAACTGGCGGAACATGGGAGAGGCCTTTGTCCTGCAGTGGACGTAGTCAGGCTGATGATGATGATGATCATGATGATGATGATGACAACATCGTTGGCCAAACCAATTCTGGTAAAAGCGAAGCTGTCAGCAGCCAGGACTTCCAGCGGTGGATGACGAAGGAGTGGCCAGAAATCTTCACTAAGTTTTCTCCCGTATAGATCTTCAGTGCCTGGCGAGACGTGAGTAGGGACACGGCGGTCAACTGCTTCCGCAAGGCAGGCTTTGCGACGGCGGAACTTGCAGAAACCGGTGAAGACAACGACAACGAGTACACAGACGACACGTTTCGCGAGTTGTCATCCCGCTTTCCGGCAGCAGTTCCACGCGAAGTGTCTGCGGATGACTGCGTGGAAGCAGACTGCAATGTCCAGGCTGACAGCTCATAATGTGACGAGGAGGATCGTCCAGACGAGGCGCTGGCTACACACGCGCACTAGAGTGCCTCGATGCCCGCTCTTCCGCTCGCGGGGCAGCGCACATCGAGGCACCCTATACTCTGTTTTACTTCGGTGAATGCCTGTTGCCGTTGCGTAAGCTCTGGGAACTCTTGTACTAAGGCGATGAAGCGTAATTCTCCTAATGAATGGAGTGATTCGGGCTGAGTGGAGGATGCAATCACGATTTGCCTTGAATTGCCACACAACATACAGGATCCTGAAGCCGTTTGTTTTGAATATCAACCATCTGACCGAAGCATTGCAGAAAGTCAGCACCGAATATGGTGAACTTAACATCAGCGGCTACGAAAACCCATTTGAACGATCTGTTGAAACTGAAGTTCAGTGTGAATGAACGGTGTCTGTATGTTCGTATCATCATGTATATTGACGGCTTGGGGTGGTGATGTAGTAGGGTTCTTCCTTTCAGTTTAAGACGCGGTATCACACTCACCTCAGCACCTGCTTCAACTAAAAAACGAGCCCTGTTGTTGTGGTCGGCAACAAAACATAACGAGAGACGACTTAAAGGCAATGTAGAAGCACTGGTCACCCTCCGTGCTTGCCACATCGCTTCTCAAGTGTGCACAGAGAGGAACACCATTACGTGCAGCGTTTCTGAACTACCGATAATACCAGCATATATTTTGCCGCTGTGTTTGTGATAGCGACGTGTTTGGCTCGCTTGTTTTTTGAGCTGTCCTGCTTGTACACAAATCTGATAACGTCTCTGTGAGTCGAGAAATATCTGCACACATTTTGAAAAAAACTTTCCGTTTTTGGAGTAGCATCTCTCCTCAAAAATATTATGAACTGATTCACAGAAACTGCTTTTAGTTGAAGCATTCTATTATGATTGTCATCATAAACCACCCCTTAATTTCGGTTAGATGCTGCCAATGCTTCAGTGTCATGTATAATAACATTTCTTCCATTTTACGGCCACTGATTTGGAACTCTAGTCAACCATATAACATGTACATCTGTGAGGAAAATAAGGCATGTCCAAACCATACCTCTATCTACTGAACTGTTTGTGTTGGACACACTCAAACGAAAGAATACTTACCGGAGTGTGCTTTTGCATGCTTGCCACCTCTTCCGAAGCCAGCTGCTGTTCGAGCTCCTTCTTGGCCTGTGATTTTATGGCAGCTACAGACCTAGAGCAAGACAACAACGGCTAGTGAGCCACGCACAACTATTTTCTCTGCCGTCACAGGACAGTGTACCACGATTAGCTCACTCGACAGACACCCACGTTAACACACAATGAAAACGTGCGCTGTGAAATGCTGCAGCAGCAGTGCAGGCAGCAAGCCTTTGTGGCAGTGTAGGGCAGGAGCGTAACCAGGCCTCTCTGCATGGGAGGCATGCAGAGAGCAACATGCAGACGAACGTCAACGAGACTGATGAGAGACCAACTTCCTGTGCTTGTTGTGGGAGGTTTTAGGGAGGAGGAAAAGGTTGACTGGCCAGCGAGACACGAGCCACAGGCAGCAGAAAACAGGCATGGTGGAGGCCTAGCTTTATCTAGTAATATGTACAAGAACTTTACCACACTGATGTGTATACGTGACACCAGGGGTTGCCCGACACAACAGAAGTCGGAGTCATGTGTGTGGTGTTCTTACTTGTCTGCTCACAAATGCTACGTGTGCTTAATGTGAGTCATCATGATGACTTTGTTACCAAGACGACTGAAAATATGCTCACTTATGTTGAGGTGCGGCTGAGAAGGTGGCACCACCTGCAACAATGCACCTGGTGTTGCCTTTTACAGCACCTTTCAAAGAAGACCAGTTATGGTTATAGGGTCTGAAAAAACTCGCGGAACACACAAAGACAGTCATGAGGTTGTGCAGCCAACGCGTGTACATTTATACATCTGCTTTTACATCTCGGCGAGCTCGCCAGCCAATACGCGACTATAGTGACACCCTTACATAATGCCAATACAATACACCGAAAACATAACGCATACAATGTGCACATGCAGAGTCAGCGACGTCTGACTCACCATGAGGGTCTATGGGCCCAACTCGCTGAATTGTACCCGAGTACCCCACTGAGAGCTCTCTATCCATGCATGCTGCCAAACCCCAGGAACATAGGGTCTCCAATAAAAACACTTCAGTGTAACTCTGGCACTTTGGAAGCTGCAACAGATGGCATTTATTCCAGCATGGGAATGATAGGTAGCGCCCAGACTTTTCTAATTTTTCGGCTCCGCTTGGCTCCGGGTGACCTGAATTCACTTTGCCACAAGACGAAGTTCAGCGAAAATTTAGCAGTTACGCCTCACCAATTCAAATTGGGTCACTAAGTTCTCACGTGGCAACAACATGTCAGCGGTTTTCTACAGAAATCCCTCGAATGCCTTGTTGTAAATGACTCTTACCTAATAAGAAATTCAGATGAAGTTGTCAAACTTTCCCGCTGTGAAGGCAACACGGGGTATCCCTTTGCTATGGATGTAAATGATCTTTTTTATTCTGTACCACATCAGGCGCTCATGTCCACTATAAAAAGATGCAATGATGAAAGCGACGAGGCCAATTTTGTAGCCAGCAGAACATTGCCAGTCTCTGATTTTATCCAAGCTTATCTAAACAGCACCTTCATTTCTTACGAAGATGAAATTTATCGGCAAAAGAAAGGCACTGACTACACATTGCGTGATTTCATTCATAGAACATTTTTAGGTAAGCTTTATTGTTTTAGAAAAGATGTGCCCTGTGCATTACCATGACCTGGTAGACTCTATTTTAGATGACTTCACGACAAATGCAAAAGGACTAACTTTCACCCATGAGCTTCCCAATGACATTTCTTATTATAATATTAATGTGACTGTGAAAAATGATCATGTTTGTAGCTGTTACTTCCCTCTCAGTAAGAAGTCACTCTTATTCACATTCTTTATTTTTCTTGAATTACAAGAAAGGTACAGAAGCTAAAAGTATAGCAATACCTGACGAAAGGCCTCTTTACCATTATTAAAAAAACAGCTGAAGCAAATACACGGGAAATTGTTCATAGCAAACATTTTCTTTTTCTTTGAGTGCAGGTTTAAACAGACAAACAAAAAAACAGTTCACGGCACATAATGCCCAAACAAAAAAATATAAAGATATAACGATAGCATACCTGCTAGTATTTTCATTAAGTACAATATTTGTATCCAAATAAAAATAATGAACTAAAACGTTTGAGACAAGTTCATCTAAACATCGTATGACATGTCATTATACATAAACAAAAAATACATATTTATACACAATATAGTAAGTAGCATGTATTTTAATTTCACAACCTGTAAGTGAGCATGTTATTCATTACCCTTTTTAGTTTTTTTTTAAAAAGGTTCGGACTAACATTGAAGTCCAAATCTCCTTCCAATCGATCAAAAAGAGACATGGTTTGATATTTCATAGTTTACTTACAATAACGTGTTTGTGTTATTGGCATGTGTGATTTTTTACTCTAAAGCAGCACGTTGATTCATTTTCGTTGTTAGTGATATATGATTTTTCATGATGTACTAGTTGAAGCAACTTGAAATAGAATATTTCATCAGCCCTTAACATATCATGCTTTATAAGTAATGGTTGTTTTCTTAAATCCTCTGGGTTGCCCCTGTATTGCTCAAAGCAGCATAGTAAACGTTTTAGTCCTGCTAATAATGTTTTATAGTTGCATTGTGTTGTCATCCCCCGTACTGAATTTCTGTAGCACAATTTCGAGTAAAACTGAGCACAATAGACTGTTTTCATCAGCCTCATAGGGGTCATACAATTCTGTGCATTACAGAACTGTTAAGCGTGGAATCGCTTTGAATTACTTTGCTCTGAGCAAGTTGTGTGTGTACATGATGCAGGGTAGCCTCTACGGTGTTCCGGTGTTCCGTAAGCAAATCCTTGCTACGAAAATCAGTTCTTGGGAAGAGCACTTGAGAAAACGGGAGCGTGTGAAACCATAGGTGATGCCATATGTGCACAAAAAGAGGTGCACTGAAAAAGGTGGCAGCAAGATATGAAATAGGTGAGGCGTAAACTCGCAAATGCTCATAAAATGCACGCTCATGAGATGCACCCAGCACATATGCTGCGAATTTCTAACACACATAAGCATGGCCGCACCTATGATTGACTTCGAAAAGGAAGCATGTGCTGTCATTTCGAAATAATATTTTCATGTCAAGTGGCAAACAACCGACTGTACATGCCTTCACGATTCTGAGTTTCTTCTGAATAGGTGGTGTGGCCTTGGTTGTCACGTCTTACCACTAATATTGCACTTGCATATTTTATTTTTCCATTTATATTCATATTAATCTTTTGATATTATTGAAGGTTGTCCGCTAACATTCTTATTTTTACATGTTTTCTTTTGTGCGGGTGCTCAGCTGCTTTTGCATTTGTTTGCACTACAGCTCGTATCAATGTTCACCGTGTGCAAGGGGTATCTTATATGTGTTACTATATCTCAGCTGCGACAGTCTGGCAAAATGTTGTCATTCATTTTCGAATGACTTCAACTAGAATGCAGCACTGACAAATCTTTGAAAGTGAAATATGTCGGCGGTAACTTTTTCTTTAGTGAAGTCAAGCTCATTTGGTGTTTACATATTACATCGCGTTGGTGAACAGTCTGGCTGAGACAACACTGATTTTGGCTGACACAGGCACTGTGTTTGTTATGCGTAGTTCCACTCTCATGTGCACCAGATCAAGTATGAATAAATTGGCTACTACGAAAGAAATGCTTTGAGCAATACTTGAAATTATCAGCAACACATTGTATACCTGTTCTATAAGTAGAATAGTGGGGCGTTTTTTCTTGTCTACATAGCATTACTGACGCATCATTTTCACCAACTGGCGCAAGGTCGTCGCCTTCAGAACCACAGGCTGATTGTGTAGACATCACTGCAGTTGATGCCACTGAGAAGTGCTATGTCCGTGGATTTCGTGGTGTCACCCCTGGCCTGATGTGGTGCGGCTGTTGGCTGCTGTGTCATGCTATTCTCGGCATCAGGGTCAGAGCTGGCTGCACGTTGCACGGTGGCCGTGGGTTTCAGCGTAAATGCCGTATGGTTGTCATAGCTGCGTAGATGGCGATTGTGATTGCACACTGATGAAATAACTACACATCCAAATGCCTTTCGTGTTTCCCTCTTGACGCTACACTTCATTTTTTGTCGTGCCAAAATGTCGACAGTACGTAGTTAAGCTGCCGTGAATATTTGCTGGGAGTGCCTGAACGTAAATACCTAGTGTGTCATACAAACGAAACCATTTATGCAGGATTTGGGACAAATATCACCCATCTGACACTAGGCATCTAAAAGCTGCGCCGCACTGTGGCTTTCTTTACTGCCACAAAACCCACTTCAAATTTCTACCTTCCTTCCAAGAAAATCTGAACGTCTTTTTCCTTTTGGAGCTGGAACTCGAGCAACCGACTGTTGCACAACCAACCATGATTGCACAAGTTTATAGATTGCAACACAATAGAAAGAAGAGACGTGTCTACAGATCTAAAAGTGCAGCCAGCGAAACAGAGCGCCATGGATATTTTAAACCGGAAGCCGGTGCAGACAACACCTCCCATGATACTTTGCAGGTTTACGCCTCACATATTCCTGTTGTGTTTTCCACTCCAATTAAATTGGTGCAGCTGTGCCAATGAATCTCTCGGGCTAAGCCACAAGGATGCCCAAAGAAGCAACTGGTGTTGTGCTGTAGGTTTCAATATTCAATATATTCAGTAATACAATAAAAAAAAATGTGTATGATACAGGGAGTCCCAAAGTAATAACTGTTAGAACAAGTACAAGTAACGTAAACAAAAATGTACAAACTAGCACTCTTGTAAATACTTATTAAAGGGATATGCATACATAATCTACGAGATTCCCGTGAGCTGTGGCGAATTCTATATTGGACACACTGGACAGTGTATTAATAACCGCCTGAGCGAGCACAACAAAAACAAACTGCGCACTTTATGTCGTGTTCATGTGTGCCACGTTTCGTGCAAGCTAAGATAATAGGCAAGAAAAGGGATCAAATGATTATAGGCGTTAACATTACGAGGACGGGTCAGTGACACATTAATTGTGCTATATGTATTCGAGTTTCCTTTTCCAATAGACAGC